TTTTTTTTATCTAAACTGATGGTTGTATCATATAATCAATTAAGGTATAACAATAGAAAATGAAAACAAAACATAAAAAGTAATTGAAATGTAAATACATATAATGTCTACTATGAATATTGATGGTATGGCAAGGAATAAAAGAATTATCTGTGATGAAAATTATTTCTTATACGTTCGATAAGAAATTACTGGATAATAATCGGCATGTTTTGTTGAATAGTTGCTCTAAAATCATAAGAAAAAATATAATATTTATCAAATTACCATTCTATCTAAAAGATTACAAGAAATTTTTTTGTGAATCTCGATTTAATGAAGCTTTCTCTATACTTTTTATAAAGTCTAGTCTTATTCTCGAGTTATATTTATATCATTTTCTATATTTATTTTACTTTAGTAGTTGGTTGTACAGAATATCCAACATCAGGAGAATAAGTTGAGAAAGCTGAAGCAGCTGATATTTTCGGTAAAAATGGTGATGGAGTACTTTTAATTAATTGAATATTTGGAGATGAATGATGTGGTAAACCGCTTGTTCCCATAGATGATAAATTAGTGTAATACAACTGCGATTGCTTGTATTGAGACGACGGATAGTGTGGCTGTGCATATTTAGATTTTATAGTATTTTTATATTTTACAGGAGATTTTTTTATTGAATGACCATGAACTCTAGTATCAATCAATGATTGAGCTTTTGGTGGAGGATGAAGAAGCTAAAGAAAATTGATTTAATATTAGAAAAAAACAAACAAAAGAAGATCCATACTCTATGAAAGGTAGGATCAAACAATTGTTGATGTATTGCAGATGAATTATAAACATTCGATCTTGTTGATGTAATTGGTTCATCAGTACTTGATTTACTACTACTTGAATTAGATCTCACGTGATTGTCTTCATTTGTTTTTATTACTTGAACATCCGTAATCCATGAAGCATCATCTGCAGTTGCTGGTATTTGTTGATTCTCTTCAGTTCTAAAAATAAACATAAGATTTATGTTAATTAAATCATCAGATTTTTTTGCTCACCTGATAGCATTAAAATATGGATGTCGAAGAGCTTGAGCTGCTGTAATACGATGATCTGGATCATAAACACACAATTGATTAATTAAATCGGTAGTGTCCGATGAAGAATGTGATAGACGACGTGCAATACCGGTACCACGTCGAGGAGGAAAATTGAAGTCTACTGCTGTGTTTCGACTAAAAAACATGATTGATTGAATTTCAAAACAAAATTATATTGTTAAGGTCATTCTTCTAAATATTACAGAGCGTACTGAATTTCAAACATATAATATAACAGACATGGACTTGGTATGGATGCCTAATTATTAACTCGTAGCATGAATAGAGAAATTGAGATTTATTAATCAATAGGAAGGAAACTTTGTTGGACATCGCCTCCTTACTTTTGATATAAACGTCGTAGAATGAAAAAAAACTTACTGTTGAAATTTTTCTAACGTACTAGACGTTGGTGTACCTAATACATCATGAATTTTACTAATTTGATCTAATTCATTAGTGCCTGGAAAAAGAGGTCGAAGTGTTGTTATTTCATACATAACACAACCTTTAAATAGAAAAAGATGTATTTTGAAATTAAGTCAAATATTATTGAATACTTACCAGTAGACCAAATATCTGTTGCATCTCGATAATATCCATTAGTTAATAAACATTCAGGTGCTCGATACCTATTTAATATAAAATAAAATAAAAATAATTTTCATATAATTTACCATCGAGTAGAGATGTATTCTGTAAATGGTTGTTTGGAGAATGTTTGTTGACAAGAACCAAAATCAGCTAATTTTAAAATATCATCTTTAATAAGAATATTTTCTGGTTTAACCTAATAATATAAATAAATATATCTTCTTTTAATTTTCAGTTTAGTTTTTGTAAACGCACATCTCTATGAAAGAAGCTATGTCTAAAGAAAAATAAGAATATCTATAACTTATTTTTAAGTAAAATATGTTCAATCACCTATGAAGATATTCCAAAGCTTTAAGCAATTGATACATAAAT